TTAATCCTCCAACCAGCTTGTCATTAGCTACGTGTCTCTCAAGTTAGCATTTTGCTAATGTTAAGATAAACTAGCATAGCCTGTTGTCTTGTAAAATTTTATCCAGAACAATAAATATACAAACCGGATTCCAAAAAAGTTGGGACACTAAACAAATTGTGAATAAAAACTGAATGCAATGATGTGAAGATGGCAAATGTCAATATTTTATTCGTAATATAACATAGATGACAGATCAAAAGTTTAATCAATACGTTGATTCAAAATTTCACAGTGTAAACAAATCCCCAAAAAGTTGGGACAAGTAGCAATAAGTGGCTGGAAAAAGGAAGTTGAGCATATAACGAACAGCTAGAAGACCAATTAACACTAATTAGGTCAATTGACAACATGATTGGGTATAAAAAGAGCTTCTCAGAGTGTCAGTGTCTCTCAGAAGCCAAGATGGTAAGAGGATCACCAATTCCACCATTGTTGCGCAGAAAGATAGTGCAGCAATACCAGAATGGTGATACCCATCATAAAATAGCAAAGACTTTTAAGTTATCATCATCAACCGTGCATAACATCATCAAAAGATTCAGAGAATCTGGAACAATCGCTGTGCGTAAGGGTCAAGGCCGTAAAACTCTACTGGATGCTCGTGATCTCCGGGCCCTTAAACGTCACTGCACCTCAAACAGGAATGCCACTGTCAAGGAAATAACAGAATGGGCTCAGGAATACTTCCAGAAAGCATTGTCAGTGAACACAATCCACCGTGCCATCCGCCGTTGCCAGCTGAAACTCTACAGTGCAAAGAGGAAGCCATTTCTAAGCAAGCTCCACAAGCTCAGACGTTTGCACTGGGCCAGGGGTCATTTATAATGGAGTGTGGCAAAATGGAAGACTGTTCTGTGGTCAGATGAGTCACCATTTGAAGTTCTTTATGGAACACTGGGATGCCATGTCATCTGGACCAGAGAGGACAAGGATAGCCCAAGTTGTTATCAACGCTCCGTTCAGAAGCCTGCATCACTGATGGTATGGGGTTGCATGAGCGCTTGTGGCATGGGCAGCCTGCATGTCTGGAAAGGCACCATTAATGCAGAGAACTATGTTCAGGTTCTAGAACAACATGTGCTCCCATCTAGACATCATCTCTTTCAGGGAAGACCCTGCATTTTTCAACACGATAATGCCAGACCACATTCTGCAGCAATCACAACATCATGGCTACGTAGGAGAAGGATCCGGGTACTGAAATGGCCAGCCTGCAGTCCAGATCTTTCACCTATAGAGAACATTTGGCGCATCATAAAGAGGAAGGTGCGACAAAGAAGGCCCAAGACGATTGAACAGTTAGAGGCCTGTATTAGACATGAATGGGAGAGCATTCCTATTTCTAAACTTGAGAAACTGGTCTCCTCTGTCCCCAGACGTCTGTTGAGTGTTGTAAGAAGAAGGGGGGATGCCACACAGTGGTAAAAATGGACTTGTCCCAACTTTTTTGGGATTTGTTGACGCCATGAAATTTGGAAACAACAGATTTTTTCCTTAAAATGATACATTCTCTCAGTTTAAACTTTTGATCTGTGATTTGTGTTCTATTCTGAATAAAATATTAGATGTTGGCACCTCCACATCATTGCATTCAGTTTGTCTGAGCTTGTGGAGCTTGCTTAGAAATGGCTTCAGAGTTTCAGCTGGCAACGGCGGACGGCACGGTGGATTGTGTTCACTGACAATGCTTTCTGGAAGTATTCCTGAGCCCATTCTGTTATTTCCTTGACAGTGGCATTCCTGTTTGAGGTGCAAAGACGTTTAAGGGCCCGGAGATCACGAGTATCCAGTAGAGTTTTATGGCCTTGACCCTTACGCACAGCGATTGTTCCAGATTCTCTGAATCTTTTGATGATGTTTTGCACGGTTGATGATGATAACTTAAAAGTCTTTGCTATTTTACGCTGGGTAACACCATTCTGGTATTGTTGCACTATCTTTCTGCGCAACAATGGTTGAATTGGTGATCCTCTCACAATCTTGGCTTCTGAGAAACACTGACACTCTGAGAAGCTCTTTTTATACCCAATCATGTTGTCAATTGACCTAATTAGTGTTAATTGGTCTTCCAGCTGTTCGTTATATGCTCAATTTCCTTTTTCTAGCCACTTATTGCTACTTGTCCCAACTTTTTTGGGATTTGTTGACACTGTGAAATTTTGAATCAACATATTTTGCTGTTTTGTTTTTTTTTTGAATGTCCAGAGGACCAGATTTAACTTTTTTAGATTTTTCTACCTGGATTATTGAGCATGCATCAGAAGAAACATATTTTGCCTTTAAAATGTTACATTTACTCAGATTAAACTTTTGATCTGTCATCTATGTTATATTATGAATAAAATATTGACATTTGCCATCTCCACATCATTGCATTCAGTTTTTATTCACAATTTGTTTAGTGTCCCAACTTTTTTGGAATCCGGTTTGTAACAAAACAGCTAGATTCTAAGGCGAATGTAGAAAACTAAAAACAGGAACATGTCTGCATTGGTCCTTGCCAGGTGTCCAACAGATTCTTAAAGCCACTTAGAGAGGTCAAGGTCAAGAGCTCAGATCTTTTTGTTAGATATTCCAGGAAACAGGAGCAGAGTAGGAGAAGGCCCTTTTGCCTAGTTCAGTCCTCATTGAGGGAACACTGCAGGTAATAATGTCCTGAGAGCGCACGCCGTAGCTGCACTCACACAGAGACATGTAGGAGGAGATGTATGAAGGCAGCAGACCAAGAAGTGATTTAAAGATGAAAATGTACCAGTGAGAGAGTCTGCGTGAAGTTAATGGTGACCAATTAACCAGTGAATACTGGGTGCAGTGGTGGGTACGGTTGTTACAGCCAGTTATGAATCTTAGTGCACCATGATAGACAGCATACAACATCTGCAGCATCCAACATCTGCAGGGTTCTTGTAAGAGTGTTCATGTAAATAATGTCACCGTAATCAATGGAGGGAAGGAAAGTCACAGATACAAGGTGTTTCCTAACATTCAGGGTTAGACAGGATCTGTTTCTGAAAAACAAACCCAGTTTAACTTTCAGTTTCTTTACCAAGTTTTCCACATGGAGCTTAAAAGAGAGAAGAGAGTCGACCAAGATACCCAAATATTTATAGGAATCAACAAACTCAATCGGGACATCATTTGAGGATAAAATCGGAGGAAGAACTGCTGGGACTGGCTTCTTGTTTGAAAAAAGCATCCCTTTGGTTTTGTCGGCATTTAGGACAAGTTTGAGGCAGAACAAATCAGACAGGATGATGTCAAATGCGGATAATAACTTAGAAGTCTCGAAGAGACTCCCACTCCACCCGGTCAAATGCTTTTTATGCATCCAATGAAATAATGACTTCATCACAGGTGTGCTCAGGTGGGTTAGTGTTTGTGTTGTTGTTTACTCATTGGTTAGTGTTTGTGTTGTTGTTTACAAAGAGGTTAGTGTTTCTGTGCTTATTTAGCCAGAGGTTAGCGTTTGTTTTGTCGTTTACCCAGATCATGTGTGTCAAACTCAAGGCCCGGGGCCTTGTTGACATCTTATCTGGCCCCCATAATGTTATTTTAACTGTAAAATACTTTTATCACTTTAATTTTGGGATGCATTTTTTTCCCAGTAATCTTTGATTATGATGTCAAAAGTGCAACAGAGAACGTCAAATGAGACCAATTAAATTCTTGTTGAGGAACCTGCAACCAAGAAAAGATGTTGGGTATCTAACTTGAGTTTATGTAGATTCTGATACCAGCCCTTAGTTTGAAAAAGGTTTTAATTTTGGCCCCTTTTGTAAGTGAGTTCTACACCCCTGACCCAGAGGTTAGAATAGTGTTGTTGTTGACTCATCGGTTAGTGTTTGTGTTGTTGTTTACACAGAGGGTTTTTTCATTCATTCAACCTTTATTTAAACAGATAAATCACATTGAGCCTCGAAGACTCATTTAAAAGTGAGACCTGTTTGGACAGACAGTAAAAAGTGGTTAACTGGACACATGTAGGATTTGGAGGCGAAAAAAATTCCTATCAGACTTTTTTTATCCTGCCTTAGAAAAAACCTCTAATATTAAAAAAACACCTCGCACAAACAAGCACATAGTGATGTAGACATTCTGCAGACAGAGGAGATGAGAGCGGTCAGTAATGTTCATAGATGCTCTCGAGGTCACTGTGAGTTCTGATAAGGATGTAATAATCAGCCAATGCCCTCCAGTGAGATTCATAAACATTCTCAAGGGATGTCGAGGAATGGCCAAGAATAACGTCTATGAGAATCCAAGAGTCCTGAAATGAGGACACAAAGTTTATTCAGTTGGTTCCATCTGGATATCAGTTGGAAATTCCTCAGGGAGGGGGTGGTGAGTGTCAGATCACATGTACTCCAGGCGAATTCAGATAAGATGGCCTTCAAGGCCAGCCAAGGGAGCCAACTTAGATAAACACGCGGTTGTTTTGGGGACAGGCAGAACTTAATGACATCTACCTTTAGTCTGTGTTGGTCGACTCGGTTCCGAAATGTCCAAAATACATGGCCACACCGATGGAACATGACTGAGTAAAATCCCCAAGATCTGATCCATTCAGCCCAAAGCATTTGAGTCTGGGTACTCGAGACACGAACCAAGCCATCATAAAGGCAAGCAGCATGATCGGGTCCAAATTTGCTGCCGACAACTTCCTTGATTGTAGATAAAACCAGCAACCAGCCGAATCCAAAAAGCAGGAACCAGTTATCATAGGTTAGTGTCTGTTGTTGTCGTTTACTCATCGGTTAGTGTCTGTTGTTGTTGTTGTTGTTAACTTTTCGGTTAGTGTTTGTGTTTTAGTTAATACAGAGATTAGTGGTTGTGATGTCGTTTACACAGAGGTTAGTGTTTGTGTTTACTCAGTGTTTTGTGTTTGTACTGTTGTTTATGCAGTGGTTATGTTTGTGCTCTTTACACTGCGATTAATGTTTATGCTGTTGTTTACTCACCAGGCAGTGTTTGGTCAGGTTAGCCTCGTAGTTCAGGGCATGGATGTGGTGGCTCAGCAGATGAACCTGACTCAGCAGCTGCACGTGCTGAAACACAAAAACTATATATTTTTTAAATTTACCTCGACTTAACCAGGCAAAGTCCACTGAGATCAAATATATCTTTTTCAAGGGAGGTCTGGAGCCTGAAGGCAACCTAACTTGCACGTTTTTGGACTGTGGGAGGAAACTGGAGTGCATGGAGGAAACCCAAGCAAACACTTGGAGAATATGCAAACTCCACACAGAAAAGGGATTGTATCGAGTACCATCTTTCTGTGAAGCTACAGCACTAACCACTGATACACTGTGCTGCCCATTAAGGGCACTGCATACTCCATCCGAAGAGGTGAAATTGGCTTTTTTCATTCAACCTTTATTTATAAAGGTGAGCCTTGAGGACTCATTTACAAGAGAGACCAGAGATTAACAAAGAGTGATGACAAGAGTGGACAACAATGACAACAGTAGACAGACATAAAAGAAAGTATATAAATAAAAAAAAATAAATGGAAGAAAATTATATTTAAAAAATGAAACAAAAACAGCTACATTGTAAAGCAATGTAAAATACAAAAAACAGTAGAGTGTCTGCGTTGGTTTTTGCCACAAACTTAATAGAGGTTTGAAGCCACTTAGAGAGGTCAAAGTCGAGAGCTTCAAATCTTTTTGCAAGATATTCCAGGAAACAGGAGCAGAGTAGGAGAAGGTCCTTTTGTCTAGTACAGTCCTCACTGAGGGAACAATGAATGCAACAATATCTCAAGACATTGTCATTCATTCCTTTATTCATTCATCTAAAATAAACAAAAGAAACAAAATAAAAAAAATTCATTAAAAAGAAAATAACATTGAATTAAAAGGGTGCAGAAAGAAGCTTCTTCTCCTTTGTTTATCCAGGTAGTCTCATTGAGCCACGAGAAATCATTTTCAAGAGAGACCTGTTTAAGGAGCAGATGGTGGGGGTTAAGGGCCTTGCTCAGGGGCCCAGAGTGGGGCGAATGAGGGTGGAGGAAGGTGTGGGTGTTTCACCCTTTCCACCCACGTTTTTTGATGTTGACGGTACCGGGAGGTGAACCTACGACTTTCTGATCACAAGCCCATCTTCTAACCTCTGCGCCACCACTCCCCCACTTCTCAGTCATCCAGGACATGGTAAATCCAAAAAAGGTTCAAAACAAAACAACTGGACTTTATTTGTACCTAAAGACCGTGCGACCGCTGCAAAGAGCTAACGGGGAAATCACAGGGAGGCAGAGTATGCATTTTTGTGAGTCAGTCTTTTTTTTTTTTTTTGTCATACACATCTCATGTGGTGGAACGAGATTATGTACACAGGGTCCCAGTTACATCCAACAATAAAATGTAATAGAAAAACAGTAATAACATCTAAGATATGAACTAAGAAAAACAACTAAATAGACACTAAGCACTAACAGCATAAAAACATCATGTTGAACAGCTGCAAGAACATGAGTCTGTGTGAGCAGATGTGCACGCATGAACACAAACATGAAACAGATCAGCAGCAACATGAAACAGATCAGCAGCAACATTATGTGATTTTTCACAGTGATTATTCTGGTTAGAGATTCATGAGTCTAACAGCCTCAGGGTAGAAGCTGTTCCTCAGTCTAGTGGTTCTACACTTAATGCTCCTCAACCTCCTTCCTGAGGGGACTGGGTCAGGAAGGGTGTGTGCTGGGTGAGTGGAGTCCTTCATGATGCAGGTGACCCTCTTCCTGCATCTGGAGGTCTAGATGTCTGTGATAGTGGGGAGACTGACTCCAACATCTTCTGTGCAGCCTTCACCACTCTCTGCAAAGCTTTTCTTTCTGCAGCTGTGCAGCCTCCATGCCACACGTTGATGCTGGAGCACAGGATGCTCTCCACTGCACACCTGTAGAAGGAGGTGAGGACTGAGCTTCCCAGACCAGCTCGCCTCAGCCGCCTGAGGAAGTAGAGTCTCTGATGGGCTTTCTTCATCAGGCTGGTGGTGTTGTTGCTCCAGCTGAGGTTGTTGTTCAGGTGCACACCTAAGTACTTGTAGCTGGAGACCACTTCCACTGCAGATCCTTCTATGTTGTCCACGACCATCTCTTTCATCTTCTTCACATTGATGTGAAGGTTATTCTCCTTGCACCAGCTCTCTAGGTGTTCCACCTCCTGCCTGTAACTGGGCACATCGTTGTTTATGATGCATGCCACCACCGCTGTCACATCTACAGACTTTAAAATGTGACAGCCTGGATGGGTAGGTACACAATCATATGTGAGCAGAGTGAACAGGAGGGCTCAGCACACATCCCTGAGGAGAGCCAGTGCTGAGGGTTATGGTGGAGGAGAAGTTGTGGATCCTCACTGACTGTGGTCTGTTTGTTAAGAATTAACAAGAAAATATCTGTTTGAAGAGTTTCATTCAGGGTTTAGAGCTCATCATAGCACAGAAACAACACTACTAAAAGTCACTAATGATATTCTCATGGCCTCAAAGAATGGACTTGTGTCTCTACTGGTCCTGTTAGACCTCAATGCTGCATTTGATAGATGATCACAATATTTTACTACAGAGGCTTGAATATGATATTGGGATTACAGGAACAGCTAAAAAATGGTTTACAGTGTCTTGCATAAGTATTCGGCCCCTTGAACTTTTCAGCCTTTTGCCACATTTCAGGCTTCAAACATAAAGATATAAAATTTTAATTTTTTGTGAAGAATCAACAACAAGTGAGACACAATCGTGAAGTGGAATGAAATTTATTGGATGTGTCAAACTTTTTAATAAATGAAAAACTGAAAAGTGGGGCGTGCAATATTATTCGGCCCCCTTGCGTTAATACTTTGTAGCGCCAACTTTTGCTGCAATTCCAGCTGCAAGTCTCTTGGGGTTTGTCTCTGTCAGTTTTGAACATGGAGAGACTGAAATTCTGCCCATTCTTCCTGCAAAACAGCTCGAGCTCAGTGAGGTTGGATGGAGAGCGTTTGTGAACAGCAGTCTTCAGCTCTTTCCACAGATTCTCGATTGGATTCAGGTCTGGACTTTGACTTGGCCATTCCAACACCTGGATATGTTTATTTTTTAACCATTCCATTGTAGATTTGGCTTTATGTTTTGGATCATTGTCTTGTTGGAAGATAAATCTCCGTCCCAGTCTCAGGTCTCTTGCAGACTCAAACAGGTTTTCTTCCAGAACGATCCTGTATTTGGCCCCATCCATCTTCCCATCAATTATGACCATCTTCCCTGTCCCCGCTGAGGAAAAGCAGGCCCAAACCATGATGCTGCCACCACCATGTTTGAGCTGTGTTGCTTTTACACATATCATTTTGCATTGTGGCGAAACAGTTGGATTTTGGTTTCATCTGACCAGAGCACCTTCTTCCACATGTTTGGTGTCTCCCAGGTGCTTGTGGCAAACTTTAAACAACACTTTTTATGGATATCTTTGAGAAATGGCTTTCTTCTTGCCACTCTTCCATAAAGGCCAGATTTGTGCAGTGTACGACTGATTGTTGTCCTATGGATAGACTCTCCCACCTCAGCTGTAGATCTCTGCAGTTCATCCAGAGTGATCATGGGCCTCTTGGCTGCATCTCTGATCAGTCTTCTCCTTGTTCCAGATGAAAGTTTAGAGGGATGGCCGGGTCTTGGTAGATTTGCAGTGGTCTGATACTCCTTCCATTTCAATATGATTGCTTGCACAGTGCTCCTTGGGATGTTTAAAGCTTGGGAAATCTTTTTGAATCCAAATCTGGCTTTAAACTTCTCCACAACAGTATCTCGGACCTGCCTGGTGTGTTCCTTGGTCTTCATGATGCTCTCTGCGCTTTGAACAGAACCCTGAGACTATCACAGAGCAGGTGCATTTATATGGAGACTTGATTACACACAGGTGGATTCTATTTATCATCATCATTCATTTGGGACAACATTGGATCATTCATAGATCATCACTGAACTTCTGGAGTGAGTTTGCTGCACTGAAAGTAAAGGGGCCGAATAATATTGCACGCCCCACTTTTCAGTTTTTTATTTGTTAAAAAAGTTTGACACATCCAATAAATTTCATTCCACTTCATGATTGTGTCCCACTTGTTGCTGATTCTTCACAAAAAATAAAAAAACTATATCTTTATGTTTGAAGCCTGAAATGTGGCAAAAGGTTGAAAAGTTCAAGGGGGTCGAATACTTTAGCATGGCACTGTAAATCATATCTATCTGATAGATTCCAGTTTGTAAATGTAAATAATAAATCTTCTTCATACACCAAAGTTAGTCATGGAGCTCCTCAGGGCTCAGTGCTTGGACAAATACTCTTTACATTAAATATGCTTCCATTAGATAAAGTTATTAAACAGCATGGGATAAATTTTCATTGTTATGCTGATGACACACAATTATATTTGTCCATTAAACCCATTGAATCCAATCAGCTACTTAGATTACAAGCATGTTTTAAAGACATAAAAACCTGGATGACCATTAATTTTCTCCTTTTGCATACAGACAAGACTGAGGTTTTGGTTTTTGGACCTGAGCACCATAGGAATTAATTTTTCAGTCTTTCACCCTCCTTAAATGGCATTAATCTGGCCTCCAGATCTAATGTTAAAAATCCTGGTGTTATTTTTGATCAGGACATGTCGTTTATCCCCCACATTAAAAACGTTACTAGAACTGCATTCTTCCACCTGCGTAATATCACTAAAATTAGAAACATCTTGTCTAAAAAAGATGCAGAAAAACTGGTTCATATATTTGTCACATCTAGACTGGACTATTGCAAAGGTTTATTATCTGGGTGTTCAAATACTTCTTTTCGGAGGAGAGGTTGTGGATCCTCACTAACTGTGGTCTGTTTGTTAAAAAGTCTAGTACCCAGTTGCAGATGGAGGGGCTTAGTCCTAGTGTGGATAGTTTGTCCATCAGGGTTTGGGGGATCATGGTGTTGAAGGTGGATGTGAAGTCCACAAAGAGCATACAGACGTAAGAGTTTTTCTGCTCCAGGTGGTTGAGTGCAGTGTGGACCACAGAGGAGATTGCA